AGGGGTGAGGAATATTTTTCCTGGACTTGGTTTTCATTGCCACCATAACGTATATTTTTTGCTGATGAGAAAGACACTTACCCTGGGGAAATTCTTAGGCGGAGAGAGGAAAGTTTCTCAGACATTTATAGCCCAAATATTTCAAAACATAGGAAGCTATATTTATGCCTGGTTCTTATTTTAACAAACGCTAAGCATCACTGCCCACAAATAAATTTTCAGTATCACTTTAGAAATGTTCTCTTTCATCATGAATGCACGATTTTTCTGTTTTAAGAAAGCAGGTAAAATTTTTGAAAGCACTGCAAAATAGGTTACAGCCTGCAGCCTTACTTAGAATTTGCCTCTTCAAATCTGTTCTATACTGATTAAAAATGTAAAATCTACTGTTAGCAAGGAGGATAATGAACAACCTCGGGCCAACTTTAGGGGAAACTAGAAGCTGGATGAGGAACAAAAATGTGCTTGGTTGTAAGTCCAGGGCTCTGGAGAGCATCATAAATACAAAATGTCTACCTGAAACATCATCAAACTAGCCAATGAGCAGTCAGTTCCCCATACCCTGGTCTAGTGTAATTTCTCAGGTTAATCTTTTATTAGCCAGTTAAGTATTTTTAAAGATTTTTAAAGACTATTCCTAGCAATGCCTTTGATACCATTATCCTCATTTCATAAATAAGAAGAGCAACTGATGTATAGGGTGTCCCAAAATTCACGCAAGAAGTAATTTTGATAGAAAACAAGGTTTATAATTAAAAATTGTAAATTTTTTATTGATTCTTAAAGCATACAGTATAGGGTTATGTACAGAATAGCACATCGGGTAAATGGCCTCCACGGCTTTGCTGGCACATAGGCAAAGCCGTGGTCTTCATTGGTCTTCATTGTCCTGCTCCTGGGCCATAACTGGTACTTGGTAATGCTTATCAAATTGAAGGGATTGAAATCAAAGGGCAACAGATATTAGAATCTGATTCAATAAACCAAGTAAAATTAGGCTTTTATTTTTTGTTGTTGTTGTTGTTAATGCTCACGCAAAATTCAAATCTTGCGTGAAATTTGGGACACCCTATATAAGTACTTACCAAGACAGAGAAAGGACCGGAACCTAATTCCAAGGACAGAACCTAGATGGAAACTTCACATGAAGATGGTTGAAATCTGAGGATAACCTCTGGCCATAAACTGATTTAGACAATTTCTTAGCCTTGGCCTGCCTCTTGGATATAACAAGAACCTTTGGGCTCCCAGGGAGACCCGTCACAGGTGTTTCTAGACGCAGGAGGTTATCCATATCCGGGCAAAAGGACTTCAATATTGAACATTAAACAGACCTCTCTGGGGAAAACAGAATGATTGAACACCCCAAAGCTGTTGAGGCTAATTGCAACTCCTGCTAGAGCACAAGAAAGCTCTCCCTAAACACATGTCCTCAGGCCTCACCTGTAATGGGAGAGACTCGGAGATGTTTACAGATGAATGCGGGGGATTTATCTTGCAGCCAAACAGTAAATGCCACAAGCAGCTGTGAAAGCTTTCTTTCTGGTCCAACAGCGAACAGCAGCTGAGCTGAGGCTCCCCATGCCCTCGGCCAGCAGGGCTCAGGGCGGGCGGGCTGCGTTCACACTTCCTTCCCTCGGAAGGTGGGTCAGACTGAAGAGATGTGGGTTGTGTAGAAAGAGAATGGGGCTGGACATCAGGGGACTTCAGTTCCCATTTTAATTCTGTCCCCATCTAGTCATTGTCTCAGCAAAGCAACTTCAGCAACTGAGTCTCACTTTCTTTCTTTGTAAAAGGAAAATAATGGTGGGAAGGAAACAAACACATTGCATGTTTACTGTGTGTAAACACTGTGAAATCTATGCACAGCAGCCCTGTAAGGAGGGTCACATGAACTTGACATTACAGATGAGGAAATGGAGGGGGCTGAGATAAGGTCACGTGACCAGTCACATGTTCTGGAAGAGATAATAGAGGAGTTGGCTTCCCCATTCTACCATACTCCATTTGGAACTCCAAAATGTCCAGTAATACTACATTTGAAGCTAGCTTTCCAGGGCATTATTAAAGTATATTTTTCAAGATACATAGAAAAAAACATATATGTAACAGTTTGTTATGATGATGAATAATTTAAAAATATTTATACATAAGAATTTGGGGCCTAAACCCCTCAAATGTTAGAGACAATTCAGAATGTTAAAATGCATTTTTGCTGGAGAGAAATGGTAATTATTAAATGTAGGTACAGGACAGCCACATATACCTGGCACTTTTCTAGGTTTTTAATGTCAACAAATTCTTTCTCATATGTGATTTCCTTTGATTCTCCTAACCACACTGTACCATATTTTGCAGATAAGGATACTGTCGTCAACACCTGGGGGCCCATGTCAGCTCCCAGGTCCCCCCACTTCTGATTTCGGCAGCAGCTGTGGCGCAGAGAGCTTCCTGTGAGCTCAGACTCTCCTCCTAGCATGGCCTGCATCCAACCTCAAGCACCTGCTGTGCTCCTATCACAGCTCCTTCCCTTCCAGGAGCTGTCCTTGAACTACAGCCAGCAGGGCCTAGAAGGTGAGAACTATACCCCTGGGGAAACCCCGATCAATACAGGAGGAAGCAGGCTGAGAGTAAAGGCTCCTGTGGTTTTGATAGGGACATTTCGGAGGAAGAACTCTGCACACTTCAGAGGGATCTCAGCAGCATCAAGCTCCCATGGAAGGCACTAGAGTCACACACGGTGATGTGTCCTCCTTCCTTCTCTCACTTTCCTCGTGTCTCATCCCTACTTCTAAACAAAATAAATGGCTTGCACCCAAGTCCCTGTCTCGGGCTTTGCTTTGGGGAGACCCCAAACTATTAGAGGCATGGAGGCCTCAGCAGGGGAAGTGACAGGCATAGGGCCACCTGCCCCAATTCTTTTGGTTCTTAATCCAATGAATTTTTCATATCTCTCCTTTCAGTTGTACACACAAGGCTACAAGCTATCATTTCTAACCTTCTACCAAAATGCCAGACTTAAAACAAGTGTAAAAAATACACGCTTTAGCCCTATCCAGTTTGGCTCAGTGGATAGAGCGTCGGCCTTCGGACTGAAGGGTCCCAGGTTCGATTCTGGCCAAGGGTACATGCCTGGGTTTCAGGCTCGATCTCCAGTGGGGGGTGTGCAGGAGGCAGCCAATCAATGATTCTCTCTCATCATTGATGTTTCTATCTCTCTCTCCCTTCCTCTCTGAAATCAATAAAAATATTTTTTTAAAAAAATACACGCTTTAGTGCAAAAGGAGTACTAAATGATAACCATCATTTTTGCCAGGGGGTTACACAAATCATCTACCTTTAAAAAACTTTGCTTTTTTCCAAAAATTTTGAAGTATTACATTTTGCTTTGCTGGTAAATTAGAAATGTTAAGTTTTTGTTCATAAGAAAGCTGAAGTTTTAGGAGTTTCCTATTTTGTACTTTAACTATTATTGAAACCAGAATTAGAATCTTTTCTGCTCCAGGCTTTGTCTACCAAATCTACTCAACAGCAGGATTGTAGATTTCCCTTAAGGAAGAGCATTGGCCTAGAGCTTTAATAAGAGGCAACTTTTTTTGTTTAATGTTCCCTTTTCCATTAGTTGCACCACAATTTCCACCGTCTTGAGCTCTCAGTCATGTATTCCAGGTCTGAACGACCTGCCATTCCTCACTTCCAGAGCTCAGAATATGACATGTGCTGACCAATTAGTGTGGTCTCCCCCCTGGCTACATTGATTGGCTCAGAGGACAGAGAGGAAGCAAAGCCTGGCCAATTAGAGTGAACACGGAGACTATGATGGGTCCCTTTCCAGCAGGGAGCTACACAAGCCGACTGCACTGCACGTCTTCAGTGCCTGGTGGCCACCTTGCCACCTACAGGAAGAGCCTTCCTGAAAATGAGGCCAGTGAAGTGGAAGAAGGGGAAGGCGTGGCACAGAAATGGATGGAGACAGACTGTCGAGGTCACATGATCTGGTCCTCCCTGAATTTAGACTTGCCACTGGACTTTACAGTCCCAGGAGCCCAGACATCACTGCCTCATCTTCCTTCAAGCTCCTGCCACTTGGAATTCAACAAACCAGCCAGAAACAAGCTCTGTGTTCAAGCATCGAAGAGACTCGGCGCAGAACTTCTCTGGACAAACAACTAAGTGTTTCCCACGACCAAGAAATAAGCTGGAAGTCAAGGACCAGAGCGGAGCTACTCACATCTTGGCAGAATCCTCTGTCCCTGCTTCAGAGAGCCCCTGGACCGAGGTACTGAGCAAGTCCCTTCATGATCCTGCAGCAGCCAGCCCCAGACAAGCCCCTCGCCTCTCATGCAGAGTACACTGACTCCACACACCTCATTTCAACAGCTCGGTGCTTCAACTCACATCCCAACTGCAACTGGGGTCCAGAGGATGGACCTTAGACGGAAATTCCTTCTGCTCATTTTGTTCTTTTGCTCAAAACTACATAGCAGCATTGAGAAGCCCTGTTTCACATTTTAAACTCATAGAAAAGCTTCTAATCACCTTTTTACCCTCTGAGAAGCTGAATAAAAAGGGGCTGGAGAGGTGATGAGAGCAAAGAAAGCTGCAACCACACCAAGAAACTTGCCCAAGTCAATACGGATACAATGAACTGTACTTGTTTTTAAAGGTCTTATTCCTTCTCCCTCCAGAAAAGTCATCATCAAATATTTATTTCAAAGACAATGTTTCAAAGGTAGGGAGGCAGGTTCCGAGCCTGAAATGCAGGCAGACTTTTCTCTAATTGTGGAAGGGACGTGGGAAAGAGGTCAGGTGAGTGAGGACAGGTTTACCAGATGGTCCACCACTGAAGAGGAGGGGGGACAGGCGCTGGCCCAGGCCTCCACACCTCTGTCATCTGTTAAACACACATGCTGTGAGCCAATGCTCCCTCTAGGCTTCCAGCATGCTTAGAATACCTGAGGTCACTACCTTTGGCTTCTGGGTGTGACATACAAACTCACCTGATGAATTCCACGGAATAGTACTGAATAGGGGAGCTTCCTTCACTCTCTCCAGGTTTCCAAGATAGGGCCACCTCGGACTCGGAAACCACAGTGACGTGTGGCTGCTGGGGTGCTGCTGGAGGCAGGCAGGAATCTAGGCAAGACAGCAGGCAACTAGTTGGTTTAGGATCTTTGCTGCAGGAGATGTTTAATATGTAAAAAACAACAGGTCTGCTTCCTACTGCCTAAACCTCTCTATTCAGAGCAGCAGGAAATCCACACCAAATAAACACAAAAATAAACACAACTGGGTTCACCATGTAAGGCTGGAGTCAGTAAGAACTGGTCTCCCTGTCTTCCCCATGCCCCCCTGGCTGGAATCTAACTAAACTATTATCCAGACCATTGACTTTGGGATACACAATGGAGTGTATCCTTTGAAACCACAAATCATACTCCCACCTCCTAACAGCCTTTCATCTCTGTTTGCACGTTGGAATTGATATTTACCTACAAGGAAAAAAAAGGCTCAGCCACTTACTTTCTGTGTGTGTGTGTGTGTGTGTGTGTGTGTGTGTGTGTGTGTTCCCCCCGATGATAATCAGAATACATACCAGTGGGAGGATATTTGGGAAATGCCCTCATGTGTAAAGACATAGGCATCACCCATGATCCTCTTGCCTGAAGCTAACTGCTGCTACTGTTTTCATACCCAGACTTTCATATCGCTCAGCCTTCCTTTATACTCCTGCTTCTGCCAGATACATTTTTCCTGCTTTCTCTTCCCAGTGAAATAGGCAGTTTTCAAAATTTGGGGCAAATACATGATTCTTCCTGAAACCCTCCCTGAGCCTGGAGGTGGAGGACGTGCTCTCTCCTGAGTGCTCCTAGTCCACTGCACAGACCTCGGATGCACTGGGGTTGCTCGCTTACTGTTTGCTTCTCCCTCGACAGAAGCTCCCTGTGAGCAATGCCATGTGATCAAAGCATCTTTGCCCCCAGTACCACCTCTGTGAGCCTTTGTTGGGTCCCCTTTGTCTATAAATCTCTCTTCCCATGTCTTTTCCTCACCTTCTTAATTCCCACTCACTGTCAGACCTCCACTTAGAAGTCATCTCAGGGAATTCTTACCTCCCCCCTCCATCGGGTCTCCCTTTGTACGTTCTCACAGCACTGCAGGTAGCATTTATCACTACCTGTGACTACACATTAATTAAATGGAGTCTTGACCCACCCCTCTATGTTCCAAGAAGGCAGGAGCTGTTCTGTTCACCACTGAATTCCCAGAGTCTAGTTCAGTGATGGCGAACCTTTTGAGCTCGGCGTGTCTGCATTTTGAAAAACCCTAACTTAACTCTGGTGCCGTGTCACATATTGAAATTTTTTGATATTTGCAACCATAGTAAAACAAAGACTTATATTTTTGATATTTATTTTATATATTTAAATGCCATTTAACAAAGAAAAATCAACCAAAAAAATGAGTTCGCATGTCACCTCTGACACGCGTGTCATAGGTTCGCCATCACTGGCATAGTACAATGCCTGGTACACAGTAGGACTTTGTTGATATATATACTGAATGAAGGAATGAATTAAGAGCACCCGTCAGTTTCCTATTATTAAGGAGTTGAACCCATTTTACCTTGGGGCAAGGTGGTAACATGCTGAGGAGAGCTAAGCCACCCTTTGCCTGTCAGGCTGGAAGCTGCTACCCTCACTTGATATTCAGTGCCTGGTTTCAAATCTCCGATCACTTCCTCCTGTCAATGACCAAACAGGTGAGGTGTCAATGGGGCAAACCAGACAATGTCCATGAAGGCTGCCTCTTGAGACCCCTGTGAAATTTTGCTTTGGGACAGAGGTTGTTTTGCTTTCTCTGAGACTGGCCAAGTTTTCAAATTTGTAAAGAGGAAAACACCATGATGTATTTCCCGAGACTAGAGCATCACCCTTTATTGGAATCTATACAATAAGTGACTAAGGGCGGGGAGCATGTATAGTGTGGAGACTCTGGACAAAGGGATGATTCATGACCTGGGCTAGACGAAGCCGGATGGCGAGAGACTTCATCACGCTACTCAGAACGCATGCAACTTAAAACAGGTATTGTTTATTTCTGGAATTTTCCATTTAATATTTTCAGACCTCAATTGACCATAGGTAATGAAACTGCAGAAAGCAAAACCTGGGGTAAGGGAGGACTTCCGTCGTCTTGCTTGGGTAAGTTCATCTCCTGCTCCCTTAGCTTCCAGCACCCGCCTTCCCCAATCTGCACCTCCAGCTCAGACCTGCCTCTAGAGTCCAGCGCGGGCCTGTGGCTGCCTCCTGAACATCTCTACCCAACAACTACCAAGCAACTCAAATTCAACATAACCAAAGCTCAACTAATCCTTCCTCCTCCTCCCACCCAAAAGAAAACAAAAAACAACCACCTTATTTTACCTCTTGTGCTCCCTCTCATTGTCCAAACCAGAAATTCTTGACACTTTCCTCCCTGTTCACCCATCCTCCCTGTTTGCTTGTCCTCCCTAACCGCCATTCACTAGGTTACCTCTACAGGTACCAGTACTCTTTCAGATCACTTGACTCTGGTAATGCCATTTTGTTCTCACAGGCATTTCAGTCCAAGTCCTCACAATTTTGCCAATTACGAGGCCACCAGTACTGCTTGCACCTCCAATGCAGACTCCACACTATTAGAGTTATCCTCCTGAACCCCTAATCTAATACCATGTCACTTCCCACTTTAAAGCCCCTTAGGAGAGCATATTTGTGTCCCCTGTTCATGCCTCCAGCATCGTCTCATGCCACCTCCCTTCCCTGCATTCCGCATTCCCGTCAGACTTAAGGACTTGGCAGGACTCAGATTTATGCCAGTCAACCGCTTGCCTCTGGGCCTTTGAACCTGCTGCTCCCTCTCCATGAAATGCCCTTCTCCCCAGTCTTACCCGGCTCAGCTCCACTCATCCCTCATGACTCAGTTCAGCCGAGACATTACCTCATTTCTTTGAGCTCCAGCCTCCAGTCTGGTTGGGCAACCCTTCCTCTATGCCTCTATGCTTCCTGGCGTCCTTGGTGCACCTCAGTCTTAACACCACTCCCCTTACATTGTAACTGTCTGTTGATTTGTCACCTTCTCTGCACCCACCTGAGGGCAGGGAGCAAGTTCTTATTCCTCTGGCATCCCAGAGCTTAGCATAGTGTTATCGGACATGTACCCAGTGCCCACGAAATGCTTTTTGATGAACAAATGCATAAACTAGTGAATGAGAAAAACAAATTAAGCCCAGATGTTCAAGGTAATCCGATGAGCTCAAAGAGAGACTGCCCCCTCCACCTGGATTCCCAGCATCAATGCCTGTGCTCCAGGCCCTGGAGCTAGTGAGGAACTCCAGACACAGGGCTGTCTCCCTCTGACCCACTCCCTCCAGCCACCTGCACATGCCTCCCAGGTGCTCCCTTCTTCCACTTCCTCTGAATCCTGACCTGGACCATTTCTACAGCCACCTGGAGAGTGTCTACCTCCACTCTCCCTCCCCCGCCCCACACCGACCCACTCTATTCTACACGCAGCTGCACAAGGGGTCTTTGCTGAACATACGGACCTGCTTCCACAGCCCCTCCTGTTCTAGTTCCCTGCATCTGGGCACCTAATTCCACCATCTGCCCGCTGGTTTCATGTCAAGTTGGGTTCAGAGACTGGAGGGTGGACAGCAGACTCAGTTCTCATTCTCTCCCAAGCGCCGCACCCAGGCCTTCCCCATGGAGGCAGAGAGGCATTTCCAAGCCCACTGGATGCTCTCACAGGCTTTTGCTGCAGGATCCCTTTCCCTGTGAACTGATTGTGTTGTATGAAGTGTGGGGGCGTAATGCAGTTTCACAGGTTACTGCAGACATTAGCTATGAGCCAACACAAATCCAGCTCCCATGGAGTGTTGTTTCTCGGTCCCAGAAACACGGGCAGCCTGGCTTGATTCTTCTCCCGGCCTGCGAGGTAGGTACCACTCTGATCTTCATTTGTGGACGATAAAAGGGAACCCCTGAAAAGCTAGCGATTGGCTCAAGGACATGAATGGTGAGGCGGGCATTTGAAGCCGGCTTCGTTTGACTCCACGGCCCAAGCTCTAATTCTATAATATGTGGATGAAAAATATTAGATAATATTTAAATCTACAAACCATACTTAGCATTAACACTGACGACCAGATGGTGATTATTTGATCTATACATGTAGACGTTTCTGTACCAGAAATTTCAAAGTTATCACTGAAAATCAGAACTCAGACATTGGACCCTAATTTCAGACCTCACTTTCCCCCCTCTCCCTTTCTCCTACTGCTGGAAACCCAGGCCATTTGTTTCCAGAAATGATGCTAGATGTTGTTTTGTTCACTCGCCCGGACATGGAGTTGCTGTACTATGAGGGCAGCCAGTTCACATGGCTGAGAGGAGGCATGAAGTGAGAGCCCCAGACAAGAAGCCAGGAGACCCAGGCTCTGAGCCATGCAGCTGTGCCACTTCACTTCTCTGGGCCAAAGTTCCAACACCGAAACGCTAGGATTCTCCTTAAATAACCTTCATGGGTAGCTCTGAAGTCAGGGCTGGGTCTCAGTTGCCCTGGTGCAAGTTGGGAATATCTAGCATCATTAGATGGAAGGCACCAGAAAAACAGAAAAGTACTCTCTTCCTGACATCCTCCTTCCAATGGTCCAGACCAAGGCTGTGCAGGCCAGGGTGGAGGGAGGGGCGGGGGTGGGGGGGTGGGGGGGTGGGGGGGGATTCCCATTCCCTGGTGGTCACAGAAAGTTAGAGAGTGTCGTCCAGGGTCTGGAAGGAAGGGCAGCATTGGCTTTGGGTCAGGACCAATCTTTCTCATATGGGTCTGTCCTATGTATTACAAGAAAGCCAGCATCCCTGAAGCTTGTCCACTAAAATGCTCACACAGATCTCCAAATGCCCTATAGGGGACAAAGGAACCCTGAGTTGGGGACCATTACCCATCAATCCCTTCATTTTATAGTCAAAGGGACATTCAGAGGGACCCAATGGCCTTTCCCAAAGTCACCCTTGCTGTAGTGACAGAGCTGGGGCTAGATGCAAGTCTCCTGGTTAAGTTTTCTCTCTCTAACCTTGGGTAGCACCCAAATAGAATTACTGTCCTCCTTTAAAATTCTGTGGGATTTTACAATGCGCATAATATATCAGTAGAGTAGCACATGTATAATTAATAAGTACATAAATATACATATATTGGTACATGTTCAAATATTTGTTTACTGATGGTATGCATGATAAAAAGTGTGCAGACTGCCAGTTTCAACCTCCTTTTCTATTTCTAACTCTAAGGAATGGCCAGATTGCCCTGATTTGCTTTAGTCTTTATTTTTGCTGGATGAAACTGTAGGTTGCTCTCCTACAAAAAAGGTAAGTGTCTAGTGCTAACCAAATCAGAAGTCTCCACATCGGCAGATTATCAAAGAATGCATGGGAATTCCACATTATCTATCAGCCAGGTAATTTTGGTCATTTCACCACTTGCCCACCAGTCTTTTGTTTGTCATTCAACCCAAAGAAAATCAACCACCCAGTTTTAGGTGACCGGTCCTGTCTCATTGAGGTCTCAGATGTTAGAGGAAGTAAGAAAGGGAGAAGGGAAAGGGGTGGGGGGAAACCGCCCCCACAAAGGCTCTCTCACTCGTTTAAATATTTCCTTTCCTTTTTAATCTTCTTTGCCTTGTTTTGGAACTGAGCTTAAATGACTTCAACCTTTAATGATGCTCCCCTCAACCCTCCTGTGCAGGTGAGAGGAAGCAGCACATAAGAGGATGGAATTCGCCCAGGATGCTGGGCGATCCTGCTCCTGTGGGAGCTAAGCATCTTCTCTTGGCCTCCGTCAGTGAGAGGCAGGTTCGGGAAAAGCAACATTCTGATCAAAAGGGTCCCCTGGATCCCTGGGGGGAGGGGGGGTAGCTTTTCTCAAGCAGACTTACAAAAATCACCGGAGGCTCGGGCTGCCCCTGTGAAGGAGAGAAAACAGAAGCACATGAGAAGGAAAGGAAGGCCTTCGGGGGTGAAATGAACCCTCAGAGCCGCGGGCCCCCCCACACCCAGCCTCGGGCAGCCGCCCACACCCTCACAGCACGGATTCTTCGGACCCTCACTCAGTGCCTCCTCGGACAGGTATGCCGCTGAGGGCTCTCTGGTCAGGACCTTGTCCAATGCTCACGGCATCCCTATGATAGGGTACAGGGCAGAGGTTCCCAAACTCCCGCTGTTCACGTCACCTTGAGCATCTCAGATACACTTGGACAGCACCTCTACCCCAAAGCAGTGCCGAGCAGTTCCATTTCTTCAGGAGGTCAGTCACGTTATGCCCAAACGACTTGGCAGTACTAGCTCACACCGATGGAGGTGTTTCCTTTGAAAAGTTCAGATAAGCCGCAGCCCCCTGGGGGTTGGCTGCAGAGCCTGCGCAGCACCCTGGCACACAGCCTGCCGTCAGAGACACACTACCTATGGATGGATGCTATGGGAAACCCTGTGTGTCGGTGAGGGAACGGAGACGGGTCAGGGGACCCACTGGTTGGGTGTAATACAGGATCTGAACATTAGTCCTCTGGATCCAGAGCCTACTCGACCCTCCTCCGTCAGGTCTGCCCTCACGGCTAGTCCATATTTCCACGCATGCACAATCCCCTGGCTCAAACCATCCTGAATGCCCCTCCCGCCTGCTTTTCCAGAAACTGGCGGGCAGTTCTCAATTCTCAGCCCCCAATTTGACCTCTTGTTCCTACAGGGATCCATCCCTCCCTCTTCAGAACCTCAGTCTGTCTGCTAAGTGGCATGTTAATGGCATCCGGCCTCCTGCTGCTCTCTATTGTTTAGTCAGCTGACTGGGGTTTCCCCAATAAGACTGAGAGCTGCCCAAGAACAGGGCTCTGTTATCTCCGCTGGGCGTCCAGCAGCAACTCTGAAAGTTACTGAAATCCGCAAGGTCGTCAAATGCTATGACCTGATAACACACTCTAACCAAGAGGATGTATTTACTATAAAGGCAATGGCCACCAGGCATGATACTGACATGGCTGCTTTTACATGCGACCAAAGACTTACAGAGACACAATTTTGCTTGGCACTCACAACAGTGCAATTATTATACCCCTTTTACGGGAGAAAGGTGAGGTTTAGACAGGATAAGTGACTTTGGCCAAAGTTACCCAACTATAAGGATAGGAAGGAGGCCTGTACCCCGGGGTGCTGTCCCTCCTGGCCTCTGTTCTATGTGTGCACCTCGGTGGCCGTCCCAGACAGGCCATGCAATGTGAAGTGCACAGTCAAGGGGTCCGAGTGTCCAGCCCAGGTTCACAGATGGGGCAGGATCTTGATTTCAGAGGCGCTATCCAGACTCTGAAACACCTGTCACCCTCCCTGCCCAGAGAGTGCTAGCCCCACCCACTGCAGGCCAGGATGCGGGGCTGGGACGCTGCCCAGCACACTGCCGCCCTCGATGGGCCACAGGCTTGTTGGAAGTTCCAGCGCTACTGCGAGGGGAGACTGAACCTCAGGTAATGGTTTCCTAGGCGAGGCCAACCCCTCCTCCCCTGTTAGGGTGGAGGGAACCACAGAGCGTGGGGTGAGGGCTGCTGAGGCGAATGAGGAACAGTCTGAGCAAAAGTCTGAGATTAAAAGCACATCGTGCAAAGGGCACACGAGCTGAAACTGCGCAGGACTTCCTTCGGAGCCACGAGGGCTTTGGTGACAGTAGCCAGAGCAGGGCCCTGAAGTGCGGGGCCTACCGTCCGCTGTGTTGCTTGGCAGGTCTGACTTGGGGAAAGTCATTCCTCTCCGAGTCTCGGCATCCAGCAGTGAAATGAGGTCATAGGATAGTGGCGAAGATGAAATGGAAGTGCAAATTGAGAGCAGGAGGGATGGGGCCTGGCGGGTAACAGATGCGCAGTAAGGGAGAGCTACTGATCACCCAGGACAAATAAGTTTCCGTGCGCGTCCGCCGGCAGGGATCCCGTGGAGTGACTGACAGGGCCACAGTATTCTGGGCTCTCCCGCAAACTCCCTGCAGGGACGGGGAAGGCTCTAGCCTGCAGGACAATTGCAGATGGGGAAGGAGGAGGGCCGTGAAGGAGACGCAAACAGAACAGGCCTAAGGCAGAAACATGCCCCCAGATAGACCGTGACAGGAAACAGAAAAGAAATAGATGAAGAGCCAACAACTGGCTAGTGGAAGGACAGGCTGGAGAAGAAAAACAAGCAGAATGGACCCGCTGAGTGTACACTGCAAATAACATCATTTTCTTCTGCACTGTGTCGCCAGGCAGTGGGGAAGACAGCTGTGTCATATTTACTGATAAAGCTTTATTGAGCTTTCACAAAAATCAGAGTTGAACTTTTTGAAGAAAAGAAGGGGAAACAGCTGTAAGGCAGATGTCTTCTCCTGTGATAAACGGGGTGGGTTGAGTCCAGGATGCGAGTGCTGACGTCCGAACTCTTTCTTCGTGTGGCTGCCTTTGGGGGTGCAGACACACGTGTACACGAAAGGCACCCACACATTCGCGAGGACCACACGACACTGTTACTGTCACTACACGTACAGCAGCACCTGCCCCCCCCCCAATCAGAAACCCTCCTAAGTATCTCGGAAATGCCAACCCCGGTGTGCCAGGAGGGCCGCCGGGATGGAATACTCACGGTGGCGGAGTCCTGGCCCAGCTGCACGCTGCGGTTCCGCTCCCGCAGGGGTTCATCGGCGCCCACCGCAGAGTAAGAGACCTGGGAAGGTGCAGACCACGGGTGAGGGCAGCGCAGGCCTTCCCCACCGGATCTGGGCCCGGGTTCTGGGGGCGCTCACATTGCAGTGGGCTCTCGGGTGCCCTGCCTCACCTCACACACACTACAGGACAACTGACATCACACACGGGGCCAGGGTCACCTCGGAAGCCTGCAGAGGCCAGAGGCAGGCTCTCGTCAGTGAGGTGGGGTGGACTGGCTGGACCCAACTCCTGTTCCTCACAACCATGCTCTCAGGTAACCTTGCATTTTCCCACCCTGGATGCCACCTGAGTCGGGAAATACGTTTCTCTACTCTAAGAAGACAATAGGACAGGGGCATTGATGAATGGCTACCCTCCCTTGTTGAAATGGGAATGCGGGCCCAGTGCAGCCAGCTCTCCCGATTGCCCCAGAGAGCTGAGAACTGCAGATATTTCTCTGAAATCTTTTGACTTCTAAAAGGTGACTCATTTTAATAAACACTGTTCAAAGAAAACGTCTTGGGGACTACAGCCGGTCTGATTTGCAGCCTGTGGAAGGCAGGGACGCATTCTCTCTTGCTTCCTCCACTTGGCCCACCCCTTCCCCCCAGTTCAGATGTTACGTTACTTTGTTCATATGGACAACATGCCACAGTGACTCCCTAGCATTCCCCATGTTCCTGCAGGCAACTGGGTACAGGAACCATGTCTTTCTTTTACTTAGTTTAAATTTTCTGATCCCTGAGCAGAGGAAGGACAGGCTAGACCAGGGGTGGGCAAACTTTTTGACTCGAGGGCCACAATGGGTTCTGAAACTGGACCGGAGGCCGGAAACAAAAGCATGGATGGAGTGTTTGTGTGAACTAATATAAATTCAAAGTAAACATCATTACATAAAAGGGTACGGTCTTTTTTTTTTTTTAGTTTTATTCATTTCAAACGGGCCGGATCCGGCCCCGGGGCCGAAGTTTGCCCACGGCTGGGCTAGACCCTAATGACCTTCAGGGCACTGACAAATGGCCTTGAAGAGGAAACAGTTCCTCTGGCTTCAGGAGGGAGAAGGGGGCAGTGATCGATACGCGGGGCTGATGGGAGGAGGTCATACCATGGAGGAGCAAAGATGAGAAGGAGCACCCGGTCATCCCAACGCACCCACTGCAGAAGCCCGTGCCCAGGTACTCACGGTGTACCCCACGACGGGGTGCCTGGGATGCCTTGGCAGCTTCCACTGGATGCTGAAAGCCGTACAGTTCAATGCGTCCAGCACGACGCGCAGAGGAGGCCCCACCTTGCCTGCTTTTGCCAAAACAAAAGAGATTGCATTAGAGGTCCATGCACCTTGGGTACCTGCACAGGATGGAAGAGAGGCCACCTATGGGTGGAGAGTGGGCAACGCAGCCATGTCTCTGGTATGACTTCACTGCTGTCCCCTCCCAACCTGGCACTGAAATCAGCCTGGCTTTTGCCCTCAGTCCCTGCTGTAACTGCTAATACCCTAGGGACCAGCAGCGGGACATTCAAATGCTCTCACTTGACTCTAGGACAGTGGTTCTCAACCTTCCGAATGCCTCAACCCTTTAATACAGTTCCTCATGTTGTGGTGACCCCCAACCATAAAATTATTTTCGTTGCTACTTCATAACTGTAATTTTGCTACTGTTATGAATCGTAATGTAAATATCTGATATGCAGGATGCATGTTCATTGTTACAAATTGAACATAATTAAAGCATAGTGATTAATCACAAAAACAATAGGTAATTATATATGTGTTTTCCGATGGTCTTAGGCGACCCCTGTGAAAAGGTCGTTCGACCCCCAAAGGGGTTGCGACCCACAGGTTGAGAACCGATGCTCTAGGAGCTTGAAATGTATTTAAGCAAGATAATAAATTTTTTTTAACTCAGTAGCATACAGATGTTTTATACATGTATATAGACATGTCTTTATGTAGCCAGTATATTCCCATTGCAGAAAGTTTCAAAATATGGTTAAGTGCAAAATGGGAGTTAGAAAATATCAAGTGTTTTACTATACATTTACCTTAAATAATTTTATGCTTACACATAATACATAGAATGTCCATAAAAACAATATATGCAGATTGCCAAAATTTAGAAAATACAGAAATAATAATTTCACCATTCATTAATAATTGAGTAGAGTATACTTCCTTTTAGTCACATGCAATTTTTAAAATACTTATGTATGCATATTGTT